ATTTTTACTGTATGTAAGTCACTGGACTAACCCTGAAGCAACCCTATCTATCACCTAGTCAGGGACACAATTCAAAGTTTCAAATGTGGCTGATAGCTAGCATGGAATAGTGGATATAATGGTGGCCTTGAAAACAGAAAGATCTGGGTTCAAATCCTGCCTCTAATACATATTAGCTGTTTGACTCTGGACAAATGACTTCAAGTCTGTAAGCCTCAGTTTCCTCATCTAGAAAATGAGGAAGTTGGACTAATAGCCTCTAAGTTCCCTTCTCACTCTAAAGCTAGGTCTAGGAGCTAGTCAGTCTTGTCTGGGACAGATCGAGATTCTTTTTTCGGGCTCCCTCTCCATAAATACTGCCCCACAGAAACCCTGACGGGTATCAGCTTAGAAATATCTCTTTACAGACTCGGCCCCTGGGTTCCCGACCTCCCCTGAGTTGGGAGTCTGCTACACAGGGTCCCTGTAATGGAGTACTAGGGTGCTGCCCTCCAAGGCATGGTGTGGGATGTCCTGCTGCACGTGGCACACCAACGCCCCCATTCGCATACTGGGGATCTAGCTAATTCTTCATCCCACCCCATCTTGACCTCATATCCTCCACAATCCATCCTAGAGACAAGCCCACTTAGGTGGGAGTCAGAGTCAGCCTTAGAGAAAGATTCTCTCTGGACAGGGATTACCATGGATAGGCTAGTAAGGAAAGATGAGATCGCTCCATCTGCTGCCTTATGTTACGCCCCATGAAGATAATAGAATGGTGTGGATAGAACATGGCAGACCCTTGACTCTTCTTTCCCATCAGCCCCTCTATCCAATCTATTACCGAGTCTTGCTATTTCTACTTTCTCATCTTTTGGCTACATCCAGCTTTTTAGTGGATTTCCCTGCCCTGTGCAATTCATCCTCTACAAAACTGCCAGTGAGTGTCCTAAAGCATGGGTCTGGCCAGGTTACTCGCTTGCTCAACAAGCCTCAATGGCTGCCTATTACCTCTAGCATCAAACACAAACTCCTCTGTTTGGTTTTTAAAGCCCCCACCACCTGGATCCACCCTACTTTTCCAGGTGTATTATAAGTTACTCCACTCTCTGCTGAAGACAAACCATCTTTCTTGCTATTTCTCACATAGGTCCTGCCATCTCCCAGCTGGTCCTCATGCTCAGAATATATTACCTTCTCTCTGCTGTCACTTAGGATCCCAATTTCCTTCATATCTCAGCTCAAGTATCCCTCCCACATGAGGCACCTCCTGATTCCCCTCAGCTGCTAGTGCCTGCCTTCTCTCCTCCACTAAATTACCATTTATTTGTTTTGAATCTATTGTGTGTGTGTCAGTCAACCAACATTTATTAAACATCTATTATGTGTGTGTCAGTCAACCAACATTTATTAAACATCTATTATATGTCAGGCACTGTGCTAAGCTCTGAGGCTACAAAGAATAGCAAAAGACAGTCCCTGCCCTCGAGTAGCTCATAGTCTAATGGAGGAGATAACATGCCAACAATACAAATAAACTGGAGACAATGTGTATCCTTATATATGTAAACGTTGTTCTTCCCGGTAGAATGTCAGTTCCTTGAAGGCAAAGATTGTTTCATTTTTTTTGTATCCTCAGTCCCTAGGACAGCGGCTCATAGATTTAGCCCTGGAAGGGGCCCTAGAGGCTGTGTAATCCATCCCTTTCAGAAAAGGAAACTGAGGGCAGAGAGGTTAAGGACCTGCCCAGGCCATACAGGCAGCGATAGATGTGTGATTGGAACTCACATCCTCTCCAACTTGAAATCCAGTTCTTTTCCCATTGTTACCTACTCTGCTTTAACAATTGGTGCTTAGTATATGCAAAATAATAATAGCTAGCATTTATATAGCATTTTAAGGTTTGCGAAACAAACTTTACAAATATTATCTCATGTTATCCTGATTACAATCGTGGAAAGGCCAGTACAGTTGTTATCCTTTTTTTTAACATATAAGGAAACCGGGGTTGGGGAAGTGAATTCACTTGCACATTACATAGCTAATAAGTATCTGAGGCTGGATTTGAACTCGGGTCTTTCTGACCCCAGGTCCTGTTTTCTCACGACTTAGATACCTCGCTACCTAGTTGACTAATCGTGATCTGTTTGGTCATTGGTTGAACTTACTTGATCATTTGGGAATTTAAATTTAAGACAGACAGGAGCATGTCTGTCTTGAGAACACTGAGTCAAACCCTAGGGTTTCTTCATCTGGCTTGTAGAAGAGGGAATAGAGATCACAAAGAGTGGTGCAAATGTTTTTTATAAACCCTAATTTTCTTGCCATCGGAGCTGTCTTTCATTAGCACAGCAAGGGGAAAAAGGGACTTCTATAAAACAAGAGCATCATAGAAGGAGGGAGGAGAAGGAGTACCCAGTTTCCAGAGAGCTCACACACTGCCACCCAGGCCCAGCATTTTCTTGGGACCACTTTCTGCTGATTGCTCAGGCCTGGGGCAAGAGGACCCAGCTAACCTGAAGGTGGCAATCACAGCTGGTGCCCTGGGCCTCCTGAATCTGCAGCCACCTCCTCCTTGATCTAGCTTAGGGGTCCTGCTGGCCTGTTGCCCAGATCAGACTTAGTTGGGGAAAAGAGAAAGCAACTGGGCAAATGACATCAGAGTGGGAGCGTCTGTAAGAAACTGAGTCTCCCGATTGTGAGACTGGGGCCTCCTCCCCTCTGGCCCCAGGGTCTTGTCCTGCCTGGGCCTGGCTTCTAGAGATGCAGTCTGGGATTTGGCTCACAAGATCAAATGACTGGATTCAGTGAAACGCTGGCGGGTCGGACACAGAAGGACCAAGTAGGAAATGGTAGATTGACCTGCTGCTGGCCTCTAGTTCACTGCTCCTGTGGACTCAAACCTACTAGCGCTTTTTATTATAATGGAAAGAACACTAGTCGGGCAACCGGGAGACCCAGTCTAAGTCTTAGTTTGGTCACTGAAACGCTGTTCCCCCAAGCCTCCTCTTTTGGCCTCACTTTCTTCACTTGCTGGGTTCTTCCCAGGTCTGGTAGTCTATATTCTAAGGTCCTTTCCAGATCTCACATTCTACGTTCTAACATTCTACAGCTTTAAGTCCCTTCTTGCTCTGATATTCTACATTTTAAGGTGCCTTGGAAAAAGTTATTGCAGAAAAACGCTAGCTTGAGTCTGAGGATGTGGGTTCAAATCTCCCTTCTGATGTATATATACCCTCTACCTGGGTATGCTTGGACAACATCCCTAGTCGATTTCCTTATCTGTAAAATGAAGAAATTGGGTTAGATGACCTCCAAGTTCTGAATATTCAGGCCCTGTAGATGTTGCAGGGATGAAAAATCCTGGACAATTCTAATAGTCTATGTCTTAAGCTCCTTTATGTTTTAGGGTCCCTTCTTACATGTTATTACAGAAAGAGCATGAGCTCTGGAGTCAGAGGTCCTGGGTTCAAATCCCACCATTGGGACACAGACACTGGACAAATCACAGAACCTCCTTGAGCTTCAGTTTCATCATCTGCAAAATGAAGACGTTGGGCCGGGTGGCCTGAGATTTGGTCCAATTCTACCTTTATGTCTTAAGAACTCTCCCAGCTCTGACATTTTATATTTTAGGTTCCCTTCTAGCCCTGACAATCGGCGTTCTAAGAACCCTCCCAGCTCTGATGCTCCATGTTCTTAAGTTCCAGGTCTGACATTCTATGATCCTGGAGTGGCGTTATTTCCTATATAACATTGGTTGCTACAATGGGACTCCTAGCCCCATCCCAGAACCTCACACTATGCACACACAAGGGTTTCTGAGTGTGATCATTTAGGCTTCTGATAGTCTTCGAGAAAACCAGCAGCTATGGTTGAGCTATGCCATGGTAAGGTGAGAGAAACATCTCTCCAGTAACTGCTTGTCCATCAGAAACTTCAGTAGGTCTCTCTCCGTGGCCTGCACTGGGGAAGCCGGCAGCCAGATCCCTGTAACCCAAGGGAAGGATTCGGCCTGCGCCACCACGCTCAAAGAGATACGTTTGTAGCTGTGCCCTTTTTGCTCCCCTCACCCCCAGAAGATGTTGTAGAGTTTCTATAGAAAAACGCCTTCTCTCTGCCCGGCGAGAGAGACCACAGACCTTTCGTAGGGAAGGTTATTCTCTTACCCTTCTGCCTCTGGCAAGGGGCAGAAGCCGCCTGAATTCTCAGCCAGTTGCTGTCTGCCTTCCCCTCCCTTTTTCCTAACCTGAGGATGATAATCCTTGAAACAAAAACTTTAGAAATATTGCCTGACTTCTCAGGTCAAATTTTTTCTGCTTCATTCAGAATGTGACCTGAGATAGTCCAGGGGTTTCACAAGAAACCCAAACCCAGTCTCTCCGCCTCAGTCTGCGGCATGCACGGTCATTAGCAAGTAAACCCAGAGGCCAAGCTCCCTTCTCTTTCCCTGCCGGAGCCAGATAAGGACAATGTTTGTCCCAAACGCCAGACCAAAGTGAAGGGTCTTATGAACATAGTCAGTGGGTGAGGGGACACTGGTGTCCCCATCTCCCAAATTAACCAGGGGAACCCTCCCAGAAACCTGGGAACACTGGTCTTTGATTTACTGAGTAGACATTACCCACCCTCCAAATGGTTATGGCCTAGCCCCTCTCAGCCTCCACAGGCTGAGGACAAAGCCATCCTCTGCTCCCAAAGAGAAGCTAGTAATATCACTCAAGTCGCCTATGGAGATTCTCCAAGGGGAGAGTTCCAATATTCAACACAAGAAACTCATTCCAAGAATCAACTGCCCTATCTTTGGGGTGGCAGTGAGGGGTAGGGGGGAAGGAGGTACAGGGAAAGAGGGGCTTGAGTTGGGACGCAACAGTGGCGGACCACCTTCAGAAGAGCCAGTGTAAGGTGGAGAAATGCTCCCCAGCCAGCCCACGTTTTCACTCCCACCCCACCCCTGCCCCAGCGGCGGGCAGTGGGCATCGGGCAGCCAGTGGCTACGTAGGGATTTCTCTACTCACCGCGAATGAAGGGCTGCGAATAGGTCGTGAAGGAATCAAAGATATTGTTGGATGCCATGTTCTGGTCTGAGGGAGGCGAGAATTCAGTCCTGGAGGGGGTCGGGTTGGAACTGGGGTGTGTGTGTGTGTGTGTGTGTGTGTGTATGTGTTTCTGCTACTTTTGAAAATAATTTGAAAAAAGGAGGGGGGAACAACAAAAAAGAAAAAAAAGTAGAAAGTGCAAAAAAAAAAAAAAGACAGAGAGAGAAAGAGAGAGAGAGAGATCCCAGAGGAAACTAATGCCTATTTGTACCCAAGAATTTGGGTTCTCAGTCCCACAGGAATGTCTGGCCACAGAGTATTCAACAGAAGTATATGCACAGACTATCATTAGTGATGGAAAGGGCGAGAGCAGAGGCAGCAGCGGGCAGGAGGGGGGAGACCCAAGGCAGCAGCGGGCAGGACAGGCTGGGGGCCAGGGCCCAGAGGAATGAATGAAACTTACCCCTAAGGCAGACAGAACAACACCCCCTCCCCAACCTATGAGAGGTGTAGGCAAGGCTAGGCCCCCCTTCCCCAGCGCAGGGGAGTGGGGATGAGGGTGTGGAGAGAAGCCAACCCTCCCTCCCACCCAGGTACCCCTGGGGATGGCAGAGGACTCCCAGCTTGTGGTTCTGTGGTTGGGGAAGAGGCCTTCAGAGTGTCAAGCCAACCTCAGCTCCCCAGGCTCAAAAAGCCTTTAGCCCAACTCGGGCTCATTGGCCCGGGGGGAGTCACCTGACCCAGAACGTCACCCTGGCCCTTGGATCTCACTGTGGCTCCTTCTTCTTTTGAAAAAAAAAAAAGAAAGAAAGAAAAAAAAAAGAAAAAAGATAGTTTCTGTGTTGGCTGGTAAGGAACAGCCTATACCGTTGGCCCAGTTAGTTTTCTGTTCTGAAAACAGTTAACATGGTGAAGAGGGGGTGTGGAGCTAAGGAGAATTTTTTTTTCTTCTCATCCTCCTTTTTAATTAATGAGAGTGTCCTCCTGCCAGGGCTGAGAATAATGTGGATGGCTAATTGGTTGATGGAAGTCATCATCCATGGGCATGAAGGGGTTTTCTCCCTTTAACTGGCCCTTCTCCCACACCCACCACTTGTCTGTGGTGCAACTCTCATCCCACCAGCAGGGCCGACCCTGGGCCTTTGCGTCTGACTATTGTTACTGGTGAGACCACTTCCATATGTGTGGATGGGTGGCTCTTGACGGGGGTTTTATATGAATTAGTATTAAGTAAAAATTCAAAGCATATGCCGCAGTATAAACAGCGCTCAGGGCTGGTCTCTGGTGTCCCATCCTCCCCCTCCCCTCCTTCCCCCTTCCACCATTCATGGTTCTTGCAAAGTGGCTGGGCCTTCCTTATACACACAATAAATGGGTTGCCAGGCTGTGTTCCAGTGGCATTATGGGAGGGGGGCAAGGAGAAGGATGCTGTGGAAACACACCAGCTGGGCTGATTTCCACAAAGCCCAGGTTCTGAGAATGAAGCCCAGATAAGCTCGGTCTCCTTTCTGAAACCCACCAAGCAGAGTGACCCTAGCTAGGAATGTTACTCTTCTGAGAAGCCTGGAGGTCTTCTGACCGGTGGGCAAAGAAGATTCTGGGGATGTCGAGGATCAGCATCGACCTCCTTCCTACCTCTTTAGAGTGATAGATGTCCTCATGGTTGACGGTTAACAAGGACGCACATTTTGTGACAGGAGCCAGAGGAGAAGATCGTTACAGCACATTGGAACGAGGGAAGCATAAACAGTTTCAGGATGGAAGAGGAGATGCTTAGGTAGATACACATTCAAGAGCTGAAAGTACTTCTGGTTAATGATAGAAATACCTCAATAAGGAACAGCATCAAGACTGTGGTCAAGAGTATGCTAGCCTCTGCAGCTAGGTGGCGCAGTGAGTAGAGCACCAGGCCTGGAGTCAGGAAGACTCATCTCGGGTTCAAATCCAGCCTCAGGCACTTACTAGTTGTGTGACCCTAGTCAAGTCATATTTGTTTGCCTCATTTTCCTCAACTGTAAAATGAACCACTCCAGTATCTTCGCCAAGAAAACACCAAATGGGGTTGTGGAGTCAGACACAACAACATAATAAGAGTTGTTGGTAGGAGGGTCCTGATTTTAATGACCTGATTTGGCTGCTTCTACACTGAATCGGGTTCTCATTGAAGGGAGAGGTTTCGTTGGTTCCCCCACCCCCACTCCAACCCCATCCACACATTCGTCTGGAATATTTGCAGGACCGTGTACACCATGGAACTCCTCACCCATATACTAGGATGCTGTTCTGGCTGAACTACCTGGTTGAGTGATTCGTGTGTTCAACTAGACCCAGGTCTGGGAAGCTGCTCCTTATCTCTGCATTCTCCATGCACAAGAACCTCATGGTAGGGGCAGCTAGGTGGCACAGTGGATAGAGCACCAGCCCTGAAGTCAGGAGGACCTGAGTTCAAATCCCATCTGAGACCAAACACTTGACACTTACTAGCTGTGTGACCCTGGGCAAGTCACTTAACCCCATTGCCTAACCAAAATGGTAAAAAAACAAAAAACCAAAAAAACAAAGAACCCCATGGTAGGGGATTTCTTGGTCTGTGGATATGCCAGAAATGACTGCTCTTTGCCTATATCCTAAGTTCCTTTTCAGCACTAACATTCTCCTCCAGTTCTGTCACTGGCCTACGGATTTATGATGGATTTACAGTTGGCCAAGGGGAAGATGGGAATCTTGGGGGTGAGGTGTGGGGGTTAGGGGCAGCAAGACTATCAAGAATAGGGTAAAGGGTGCTGACATGGGAGGTGGGCTTGGGGCAGGGGCGGGGTGTGTGGATGGGTAGGTCAGAAGTCTAGCCTGGAGTCAACACTACAGCTTCCTCTGGCCTCAGAGTAAAAAGGAAGACCATCTATGGTTCTTCTAATTGACTTTTGGTCTGAACTACCCCCGGCCCACCCCCTGCCCACCACAAGCCAGTTTCCAAGTCCTGCGATATGCACTGTCAGCTGGTGATGTAACCCAACAAGTATGTGCAGCTGTTGATGACCACACTCTTCTAACCAGCTTCCAGAGGTTGGAACCCCAGAATGGGGTGGGGAGGAGGGAAGGGGAGGAGGAGCGTCCCAGAACCCTAGTGAGCCAGCTGAGCGCTGGGCATCACAGCAGGGCCCTCCCCAGCCTGAAGCTTGCCATCCGTCTCGTAAGCTGTGGGGATCTGCGGATCACAGGCATTTCCAACACCCCGTATCGCCAGGACACAGCCAAAACCCCTTTCTGAAACTCCAGTCCCCGGTGGAGCTGTTTTTTTCCATGAAAGTGCCCACCCAGTTCCTTTTACCCCAGGCCGAAGGGGACCGTGAGCCAGAGTTGGTGCAGTTGTCTACAAAGGCTAGTATTGCTCTTCAGCTCCATTCCAAGAAGGTGGCCTGGCCCCAGATGAAAGAGAGAACATATTCTTTACCATAAAAAGGTCTATGGTTTTTCTTCCCCTCCCCCCCTTTCCCTTTAATGACCCCATTTTCCACGGGTGTGTCTGAAAATTTGAAACATACCAACTTTACTTACTCGTCCAAAGGAAGGGGGGTCATTATGTGGTTGAGAAATTGATGGGTGTTCTGTGTGCTATCGATGGAGCATCCCAGGCATCTACCGGCACCCCAGGAGATTAGGCGATCAACAAGCAGGCCATGCATTGAGCTTCCTGGCCCTGGAAGCAGGGCTTGAGGGTGCAGAGTTTTCTGACTTTAAAACGAGATGCTTGTCTTCATATGGATACAACAGGATTATAATGCAATGAGATGGAGCCTAGGAGTTACGGGTGAACTATTTACCTTATCTCTGTACCTCATATGACCACGCTACATATCATAGAATACACAACATCAGAGCTGGGAGGGTCTTTGGAACAGAGAATGTCAGAGCTGGGAGGGCTCTTAGAACATGGAATGTCAGAGCTGGGAGGGCCCTTAGAACACAGAATGTTGAAGCTGGGAGGACCCTCAGAACACAGAATGTTAGAGCTAGGAGGGCCCTTAGAACACAGAATGTCGGAGCTGGGAGGGCCCTTAGAACACAGGATGTCAGAGCTGGGAGGGCCCTTAGAACACAGGATGTCAGAGCTGGGAGGGCCCTTAGAACACAGGATGTCAGAGCTGGGAGGGCCCTTAGAACACAGGATGTCAGAGCTGGGAGGGGCTTGAAGTCTATTCTCTTCATCTTACAGATGAGGAAACTGAGGTCACAAAAAAAAAGGGATTTACTAAGGGACTTAGTAACAGAGTTAGAACTAGAATCCTGGTCACCTGATTGCCATTATTATACTCATGGGACCATAAAATTTAGAGCTGCAAAAAATCTTATAGATCCTCAAGTCTAAATTTAATTTACAGAAAAGAATATTGAGTCTCAGAGAGGAGAAAATGACTTGACCAAAGTCATATAGGCACTAAGAACTTGAACCCAAGACTTCTGACTCTATACAATGTTCCTTCCCTCTTAGCATGAGGTTCCATGTATTCATAGAGTCACAGATCAGAGCTGAACTTATTCTTTAAGATCATCAAGTCTAACCTCTCTCCCTTCATTTTATTTTATTTTATTTTATTTTATTTTATTTTATTTTTTTTTTGGCTAGGCAATGGGGTTAAGTGACTTGCCTAGGGTCACACAGCTAGTAAGTGTTATGTGTCTGAGGTCAAAGTTGAACTCAGGTCCTCCTGAATCCAGAGCCAGTGTTCTATCCACTGAGCCACCTAGCTGCCCCTCCCCCTTCATTTTATAGAAGAAGAAACTGAGACCCAAAGAGATTAAGTAGTTTACCTTAGTCAGGATTCTAACCCAGATCTTCCTGGCTCCAAATTCAATGCCCTGTCCCTACAACACCCTAACTCTTTTTTAATAGCACTCCAGACCCACTAGCCAGAAGGTGAGCTCCCAATGGAGCCGTTTTATAACTCAGCAATAGGCCTAGTGATCACCTTGAGACTAGAAAGGAGAGTTACAGAATCCTAGAGCTTAAAAGGACCCTAAGAATCATTTTCTCTGCTGCTTCCCTTTCCCCAGTATTGCTATGGCATGTGGGCAGGCACCAAGGGAGGCAGCCTGAGGATGGGGGTGAAGGTGATGGAAAAGGAGATATCTTTTCACCTGGTGTTCACAAA